TCTTTGCTGTCTGGCACATATTCCTGAAATATATTTGCTTTTGATGTTTATCAATATGTAGAGAAGCTGTTAATGCTGCTTGCTGCTATCAAGAATAATAATTTTACCTGAATGTTTGCAGCTTAGGACTTCTACATTTTTGTCTGTGTAAGCAAGGCAAAGGTTAGCATGGCAAAAGTGTGATAAATTCTTTTAAAAAAAATCAGTAGAAGTGTTGGTTTGGGGTGAAGAGCTAGATGAAACACTTAACCAAAGAAGAAAAAATAGGGTTTAAAAAATGGCTTCAGCTGACAAGCTCAGATTTTTCACTTTAGCCTTCTGTCAGATAGTTATGACTCCCCTGCTCTTCTGTCTTGCTTCTTTCTCTCCATTAATGAAAATAATGGTTCTAAGCACATAGGTACTTGACTTTTATTTTGGTTCTTTCTCAGTCTTTCTTTATCAGAAAAAATGTCAGAAGATTCTGTGATGGAAGGGGAACTCTGCACCCATTTTGGCCTTCATTGTCAGTATGACTAACAGAGGCCTCTGGATTACAGAAGAAATAAACTGGAGGGGACATGGTATCAGCCTTCAAGTGTGTTAAAGGCATAATGGTAGTGAGAGTAATCCTCTTTTCTTGACAAAGTCTTCAGGAAGCAATAGGCTGCAAACAACAGAAAAAAAAAATTCTAACAGTAGGGAAGCTGAAGAATTGAAATGAAATAGTTTGGGTATCTTATAAAATTCCCAGCAGCAGAGGTTTTTAAAAATCTGTTAGACACATAGTTTTTGATGTTGAGTGAAAACAAATAACATACAAATACCCCAAGCCAGTGAAGGGGATGTAATAAAGGAAAGCATTGTGTTTCACATCATGGAGGCTATCAAAAAAAATAATAGTATTTTAAACAAAGATTATATGCTGATGACTAGGTCCTGAGTGTGTAGAGATATAGACCTCCCTATTTGATTTTTCTCTGTAATTTTTTTTTTTTTTGTACATGGATTGTTTTAATTCGTCCTGAAGTTGGCTGACAAGATAGCCAGACACCTACCTCAGAAGATCCACAAGTGTGATAAAAAATGAATTTTTCTCCTAACGGAGACTAAATCTGTATTTTCTCATTTTCAGACTAACAGCTTAGCAACTCCAGTGTTGACTCACACTCTAGTGTTGTGGCCTTAAAAACAGAAGAAATATTCTCTCCCTTTTACTTTCTCTTTATTTCTTTCCCTCTGGCCGTTCGGTGAAGAGCTTTTGTTGCGCAAGTATGTGGCATACCACTGAGATCTATGTGCTACAAGTAAAGTTTAGTAAGCTCACTTCTCAAAACTGTGCAGGAATACAGTCTTTCACCTTTTCTGAAATCCTAAGAAAATTTTTACCCAAAAAATTCTACTCCTTGTGCTGTGGTACATAATTCATTGTTCTATGGTATGTTGAAAGTGTTTTGGTGTAGAAAATCTCATACTGAGTTTACAGATAGCATTCCTGTGGGTATTGTCACAGAAGATCCATAGAAAGAATGTTTAAGAACAGAACGCTTGCTGAATAGCATGAAGTGGAAGGTTATTTTTTCTCAGTTGGCAACTTAATTTCAGGGCTTCAGCCTGAACTGGATCTGTGTCACGCACTGCATGCATTAATCTATAAAACATTTTAAGCTTTGAGAAATCCTCTTTTCAAATCACACTCAAAGGTGGTGCAGAGCCACAGAGGAGCGGTCCAGATGTACATATAAAAATATAAATAGCTTTCCAATCAAATGGGAATGTCATTAGAAAAAGAGAGGCATCGCTACAATATCAGGAACAGTTTCATAATGCTACCAGCGATGTAAAATACGATGTTTGGATGTTCTATAAATGATACATTTCATATTCGTATACTTTACAATCATATATTTTAATCAATCTAGATAACACTGCCAGAATTTTGACACGAAGGAATGGCTTTAGTCGACATGAAATAAGTACTTACCTTCTACCAGTGGTGATATCAGACAATGACTACCCCATCCAGAGCAGCACTGGCACGCTGACCATTCGGGTGTGTGCCTGCGACAGCCGGGGGAACATGCAGTCCTGCAGCGCCGAGGCCTTGCTCCTCCCTGCTGGCCTCAGCACGGGGGCGCTGGTTGCCATCCTCCTCTGCATCCTTATCCTGCTAGGTAAGAAAAAGAAACTCATCTTTCCGCCTGTGAAGAAAGGCTTCAGGCCTGACACGTTTTACAAAACTATGCAGGTTGGTAAAATTAACGATCATGGGTTTTGTATAATTCAACTGCAACTTAAAACAAAAGGTAAAAAAAAGGACAAAAGCTGTTTGTCTATGAATTGGAGATGGTAAATAACAATTCAAGTCCCAGACTGTTAAAACTATCAATGTGCCAACAAAAGCTTATTTTTTTCTTTCATTAGTTTGTCCAAAAAAGAAGATCAGGGAGGAGGAACAGCATAATCAGAAATCATTTTCATGTATTTAATTTTAATTTTTTCTTGAGGGAATTTCTCTTTTTATTTAAATAGCTATATAAAGTCAACATGCAGTATATATTTCACAAGAATATGCCAGTAAATAGTATTTTTACTATATTAAAGCACTAACTACCCAGAGGTTTTTGTGCTATAATAAAGTAGATCTTGTAAAATTTTACTACCGTTTCTAAAATAACCACTCTGTTTTGTGGTTTTCAGAATATCAGTAACGATCTATAATTCACCTCTAAACCAATTTTTAACAGTATATTTTGAACTTAAAAAAGGGAAAATATCTTCAGAATAGACCCGGCTATTTCAAAACTCATTAAAGTTCCAGAAGGAAGCATGTAGAGAAGCCCATGGTTCTGTAAAGAAGAGCACACAATGTCTGTGCAAAATAGCACATTTTGATCTAGACCCCACTATGCTCCTGTAATACAGATGGAGGTGTTTATCCATTTAATGGACAGAAATGAACTGTTGAAATGTAGCTGAAATAAAGTTCTTGCACTTGGTGAATTTGCTACTAAAAAATTGTTAAGTAGGGATCTTTAGCCATTCTTTGTTTCTCTCTTTAAGTTATAGTGGTGCTGTTCGCTGCTCTAAAGAGGCAACGAAAGAAGGAGCCTTTGATCCTCTCGAAGGAGGACATCAGAGACAACATTGTGAGTTATAACGATGAAGGCGGTGGAGAGGAGGACACGCAAGCCTTTGATATTGGCACACTGAGGAATCCTGCGGCTATCGAAGATAAGAAGCTTCGTCGAGACATTATCCCTGAAGCGTTGTTTGTGCCACGGAGGACTCCTTCAGCACCAGATAACACAGATGTCCGAGATTTCATTAACCAAAGGCTAAAGGAGCACGATACTGATCCTTCTGCACCACCGTATGACTCGCTTGCAACCTACGCCTATGAAGGAAATGATTCAATAGCGGAATCCTTGAGCTCCTTAGAGTCTGGTACTACTGAAGGAGACCAAAACTATGATTATCTCCGAGAATGGGGCCCTCGGTTTAATAAGCTAGCTGAAATGTACGGTGGAGGAGAAAGTGATAAAGACACTTCTTAACCTACAGTAGGCTACATTATTTTTTCCTTTGAGCGGAAGTAATTTTACAGACACCTTCTGCACTCAACAGTATTTAACATTCAGGAAAATTTTCCTGCCACTCAGCACAATTGTTTCCTTTTAAAATTTTTTAATTTGTCCATTAATGTCATTCATTCTTTCTAGTAGGATGCCACTTTGAATATAAACAGCATTTTATTTAATCACTTTCCAAGAGCCAAAGCTATGGAAATTCAGTGTTGTCCATTTTAGTAAGTAAACTAAACAATACCTTACCTTCAGAAATTTGAACAGGGTGATAATCCCTTAAGCAACCTCATGTACAAGCCGCTTCTGTTAGGTCCATGTCCTATCCTTGCAAGTGCAGCTTTTAAGATGGCAAAGAAGAAAAAATCCAGTATGTCCTGTTCTGTACATTAAAATTAAAAATGTACACGTGGTGTTAATAAGTGTAATATGCAGCTGGTTTTAAAAAAAAAAAAAAAGTTTGTGCAACTTCATTTCATCAAATTCTATCTGCCAATGTTTTATATTTATATTTTTGTATTTATTTTTAAGAAATAAACCAGGTTTTACAACTATGTGATGCTTGCCTGCCTGTTCTGGCCATCAATTCCAGGCTTCAAACAACATGAAATTTCTCCAATGACAGCACAGCCAACTGCTATTCCTTCCATGCTGCAGTGTTTTCCATAGATTTAACACAATCTGAAGTGCTTGTGCTCACAGGGAGAGGACCAAGTTACAGACCTATGTGCTTGCTCAAAAGTGCTACTTCCTACAGTTACCATGTTTAAGAGAAATTGTGCTTCATTTTTGAACTGAACTAATGATATACTATTCCAGAAAGACGAATTACTATTTTGTCTCATCTTGAATTATCTTGTTCTAAAACTATGCTGGCACAACTAATTCATCTAAACACAAGGAATTAGTTTCAAAAAATGAATTTTTTTCTATAGTTCTCTATTTTGAATCATAATTTCATCATCAGATGTGATCTATAACTGCAATGGATAAAGTGTAAAAAAATGTTTAAACAGTCATTTTGAAGTACCATCCTTTTCTGAAGACAAATCATTTGATGACAAACCACTGTGTGTTGCACTGCAACCATCTGAGAGTAACCTAATCTCCTTTAAAGCTGTCAGGCTGCAGGCTGACAAAGTGTCAGTAAAAATAGCACTCCCTCCATCCAATTTACTGAGTTTTCTGATAGCTTGGAAAAGTCTAGCAAAAAGAAATTTGAGCAGCTAGCCAACTGGAACAGAAATCATCCTTTAGAAAAATCAAATGAAGTAGATAACCTAAGACGTTTTTCTTTCTTTATAGATTACACAAATCTATTTAGTAAACAAGCACTGCGATTTGAAACCTTGCTGAGATGAAATAATTTCAGAGCAAGATCAGGGTGTCATAGCATCTGTATTTACTTATTTATTGTGGAAGACTTCTGAAGGATAATCCCACCTCTGTCTTTCTTAACTTCTCGTTGGCATAAAATCAGCAGATCCTGAAAATATTTAGTCCGTTAAAAAGTGCAATGCTGCATTCTTATTTAATCAGATATTTCTTCTCCTTAATGGAGTGATTAAACCCAATGAAGTTGAAAGTTGAATACTGTGCCATTATGCAAGCTATTTTGGTGAAATGAAGACAAAATTTTTATTGACTTGATATCAAGTTAAACTATTTGTTCTATTAAGAAAATGTGAAATTTATGGATTTTTCTTCATTTCACTCAGTAATACTTTCATTAACTAAAGATATTTTATATTCCTTAATAGAAAATAGTTCTGAGTATATTAAGAAACATCTTAATCAGCATTACAAAATTTTGTAGAAGTCTTACAGACCATACAAACAATTAATCTTCTTTATGATTATCTAGTGAAATGGATCTTTTTTCTTCCTTCCTAACCTCTATTTACCCTTTAAAAGCAAGTAACAAGACAAAAAAAAAAAAAAAAAAAGGAAAAAGAAAAAAGAAAAAGAAAAAGAAATTCATCCATTAAATACATAAATAGCCAAAAGACACTTTTGCAATACTGTTTTATGTCTGCAGCAGCATTGTGATCAGTGACACTCTCCATATTTAACCAAGTATGTATTAGGACAGAAGATAAAACAGGCTGTAATACAGATGGGGTTTACCTCTTTGGTAAAGACAAGATTTTGGTTAAACAGGTCCAGCCAACAAATATAACTCAGGAAGAATCTCTGTTTGTTTCCAGAAAGAAGAAGCATACACAGGTCTGTCATTCCTTCAACATATCAGCAAATGTCAAATAAGACTATTATTTTTATTTGCATTACAGTACTTACAGTTGAATAACAATAAATATGTAGAATTATTTGTCTATCACTACATTTAAATAAGTTATTTTGTAGTTGTTCAGCCTAATCTGAATCTAATGTTTATAAAATTCAATACTGTATCAATTATTAAATGAAATAATGGTATACATTTGGGAAGTATATAACAACATATAAACATACTCTTAAACTTATATAAATAGTACAAATTAAAATTTGTTTTTTACCCCTTGACATATACTTGGAAGTTTATTTCCCAGTATATTTTAGGAAAGGGAAAAAAATAGTCCATTTCAGAACTGTAGATGTTACTGTTCAAATAGCATTTTACTGTACAAATATCTACCATTTCACTGTTCAAATATCTCAGCCTAGTGAAAGTGGGCATAGGAACATACAGTCACCTGTGCATACAAATCACAAAAAAGCTTTGAGGAAGATACAGTTCATTGCAATACCTAATTTATTTTAGGAACTGAATAATTTAAGCAACTGAGTCGAGTCCTTAATACACGTGGTCACAGAATAGACCACAAACGTGTTGTCCGTGCTCTTACATGCTACAGATGAGTCCTAACAGCTTAGTCAAATGTAAGGCCATACAGTAAAATATAAAAGCCATGAGTATCAGATATCATGCAAAGGAAGAAAGGCATCAAGGATTCTATCCCAATGTCTTTCTTACACCCTTGACAGTAGTGAGGAATTAGAAAGTGAAACTCCCAGACTGTTTAAAATGGGGAAAATGTAAAATAGAATACCTGCTTCCATAACAGTATCTGCTAAGCCTAGCCACATGAAATTATATGAAATTTAACAAAATGCAATACATAGTAAACAAACCCCTTGTATTGTTTGAATTAATTTGCCATACATTCTTACAACAAAACTGCTGCAAGACCACAGTTAACAAAGAGAAGATACATTAATAATGCATTTCAGGTGGAACCTAAAAATTACTTAAGAGACAGACCTTATGAATGTTTAAAAATTTGGAAACCTATTGAAACAGGCAATAGTGAGTTCTTAGAATCTGTTTCAACGAATTGATTTTTTTTTAAAAAAGTTTAAAAAGGAATTTTGTGGAACAAGTTTTGTACAAGATCTTAAGTTAACAACAACAAAACTAGTAATAGCTCATAGGGTCTTCAGGGAAATAGTTGATGGTAAAAACTGTCTAAGCAGACTAAATAAAATGGAGAATAAGACAAGCACCTAAATCAACAAAATCCTCACATTGCACATTATCAGGTCAATATCCACCAGCTGCCAGACCTGTACCTGGAAATGTTTTTCACTCATTCACTTTTACAAGGTGTCCTATTTCCACCATGTGTACCTTGACCACATGTAATACTCTTCCCAGACCAAACTATCAGTTACATTACTGGCTGTCAAGAGCCTATGCTTTATTCTTCTCACTTATTGTCCAGTGTGACCCTATTGCCCTTGATTCAAATTTCCTATAACGTAATGTGTTTGGGTTTTTTTACTTATTCTTATGCGCCCTACCGCACAAAGTTGGAAGAAAAAGAACAAAATTTGTTACACTGTTCTCCTTTGAACCTTCTTATAGGTTGCTCCTGTAAGAGCTCTTGGGGTGATCCCAGAATTACCTATTAAGGGCTACAGAACTGCTCATTGTGCTAATGGCAAATAGTGGAGAAAATTAAATCAAATAATTGTTCCAGGTTGTTTCAGACCGGTTTGCCATTATTCTGACAGAAGTCAGACAATTTGACAGTGTTTCTCTAGGTTTATCCAGCATTTGGGAAAAAGTAAATACATTTTTTCTTTTGGCCCATCATGAGCTCAAAATAAAAATCAGTTGACCTTTCAGGAAGATAGTTGGTTTACATGTGATATAAAGAAATCAACAAAAGAGTTTAGGACGCCTTAATTTTTGTCAAATATGTGAACTAGAGATCTGACTATAAAAGTTACCAGAAGCCTTCAAACACTGTATTACCATTATCAGACTCATTGGGATAGCATGGAAATCACGCAACAGTAATCTGTTCACAGCCAGATGAGCAAACTGATGTTCAAGCTAAAACAATTTCACTTATTTGTAACAGTGTTATCTATTATGTCCAAACCCATTATGTCAAAAGTAAACATAAGCAGATAATATCAATTGTAAGGAGATATGTGAATATTTTTTATTTTCCCCCAACAAAATGTCATGGGCTTCTACATTGTCTCTCCAGTTTTTCAGAGGCTTACTCAAACTCTATTCTAATATGGTAGAATTGGCTGAGAAGTCACTTTCCACTTAACTGAAGATGTAAAACAACATGGCCATCAATAAATACAATAAGCCGGATAGAACTCATTTTTTTAATGTTCTTTTTTTTTTACTCTTCTTTTAAGCTATTTTTGTTTTCATTTTAAAGGAATGTAGTCAACTATGAAATCAAAATGACAGTTTTTAAACAAATGTTTTTTCTTAATGCGAGTTTCTATTTTCTTCAAAAAAATTTTCAGCACAAACATTCAACTTTTGAGAAAACTTTACTGTCTTTCAGTTGATGTCAACCTCAGTAATCAATGAAAAATAAAAAAAAAATCTTTGAAAAGAAATATGACAAATACTCTTTCTTTCATTTTTGGCTACAAACCAGAGGTCAGTTATATTTTGAACATATGCTTGATAAAATACTACTGAACATTTCCATTAATGTTTGCAAAACAATATTTTGATTGCTGATTAAGCACTGGAAAGTAAACATTTTCTAAATATGCTTGCACTCATGTTTATGTAATGTGTGGAAACTTTCAGAAAGATTCTCTTATATCTGTCCTTTTGAGTGAAACAGAACAAATTCTATTTATATAATATTCATTAAAATGTCAGAGGAAAACCAACAGTTAAATCTAGAAAATATTTTTTATGTCCCAAATGGGCTATAGGGTGAAAAAGTAGTGTGACTTGCAACTGTAT